AATAAATATATTACTCTTAAATAAAACTACATTTTCATTAATCGTATCACTATTAAATATACCTGTATTTTTTTGTTTTGTGAAAAAGTACAATCTTCTATATGCATATTTTGCCTTAAACTATTTCCTAGTGATTGATCATCTATAGATGTTCTAATACTAAATGTACAATTATTTAATTTGAGATTTTTAACATTGAATGTTCCTGTTGATATACCAGATATTTCTTTATCATTTATTTGAATATGGTTTGTATTACTGTTACTATCAAATTTACTATCTTTCTTCTCATGATTATTTATATCAGAATTACAAAATACTATTATCCTATTACTGTCTTTGTTTGTCATTGTACTGTTTTTATTATTAATAAACCTAAATGATTAGACATGAAGGGTCTTGTCAATTTCTATGTCTTCATTCATGTTAGATCTAATGACTAATGTATATTTAGTAGAATAAATCAATTTTCCTTCATAGTTCACCTCTTCTAATTGACTCTTATCTGTATAAGTTATATACATGTATGTTCTTGTATAAACAGTGCTAAATACTTTTAATATATTTTCTGTTGGTGTTTTAATTATCCATAGACACATGAAATAAGTTCACATCAATTCTATTTTCTTCTTACAACAAAAAATCCTTCGATTTTGTTTTTATTTTTTTGTTATTCTATTTCTATATTTATATTATCAAAAATAACAATTTTTATTTCTATTTTTAACTTTATGATTCTAATTTCTATTTTTATTCTTGTTTTGTTTTTTATTTTTTAAGATTTTCATTTTATTGAAAATAACAAATTCTATATTATAGTAAATATTTTACTATTCTTTTTTTCTTTTTCTTAAATTTGTGTATTTTTTGCCTTTTTCTTATTTTTTCTTTGTATTATCTTATGTTCATATCTATGTTCCTTATTGTTCATTTTATTTCTATCTTCTTTTCATTTTATCTATTTCTAATTTTATATATTTTTATTTTCTTATTTAGATTATTTGATAGTGAAATTGATATATGATAATGAAAGTGATAATTTTTTTGCACGTTTCGTTTTTCATAGTCTATATATATCATACTCTACTGATTATTTAGATATAATATACTCTTCATTCAGAACAACTTTTACTATTTCTATTTGATATCATATCTTCATTTTGTTGAAATATGATACTCTAGATTCATGTTATTTTTGATTTTATTCCATTTATAAAAATAGTTTATTTTTTGGTTTGAATAACAAAATAAAGAATAAAATGAATGAAATGATAAAATACAATCTCAATGAATCCATATAATTCATTGTCATCTCCAATTAAAAGTGTTGAGATTCTGAAATTAATTAAAGATAAAATGAATATTTTAATACAGTTAATGATGATATTTCTTATACTTTCTTAGATGAACAAGTGATTTCTCTTCATTCTAAAGTTACTCACTTATTTAAAAGTATAAATAATGAAGCACATGGTCTATCTCTTTATCTTGAAAGAAATAAGGAAATAATAAT